TATCCCTATACCATCAAGCTTAAACAATATACCATCCATTTGTTTTTCTTCTTTTTGATGTTCATTTACCAAATTTATTAAATTAACACTTTCCTTTCTATTGTTAATATTAAAACGTTCTTTAAGATATTTACTAGACAGTTGTTCAATTTACATCAAATACATTTCAGTTTCTATAAGAAAGAAATAGATATACAGATAGATAGATAGATAGATACTACTATTTTATAAAATTATAGTAGCAACTGTTCAGTTTGTTTATATGAAAACTGGATTTTTTTTTAAAAAAAAGTGCAAAGATCATTCAATTATTAGATCGGTGCTTTGTGACAGTTAATAGAATAGTAGTAATAGTACTATCACTACTACTACTACTACCATAAGTACTACAACTACCATAACTACTAATGCCCCTACTAATACGAATAATAATAACAATACTTATTATTATTATTATTATTATTATTATCATGACAACATAAAAGAAATATGAACAAATAGAATTATTCTAGGTACTTTATTTCTTTAGACAAAACATTAAGATAAGACAATAATAGAAAGTAAACTTAGCCGATAGAAAGAAATATTAGAAAGACCCAGTAAGATATAAATAAGAGAAAGAGAGGTAGAGAGAGAGAGAGAGAGAGAGATGAACAATGAAATGTCATATAAAACTTGTGAAATGTTTATATTCTATGATAACTAAATGTTTAAGTAGAATATTTATTCACAGATATATACTGTATTGTTATGCTTATTATTTGTTATCATCTGTAAGATGATGGAAAAGATTTATAGCTCAGGTGGATGATTTTGATGGAGTTTTATTGTCTGAGCTACATGGTTTAGTCGTGGAGCTTTCATCATTCTTCTGAACTACATCATCAGCATAAACTTCAGTTAGACTTTTATCATCATCTGTCATCATCTGTGTATATTCTTGTGCTGTTTGAATGAACTAATGATACCTTTGTACTTGTTGAATGGTTGATATCGAATTCTAAATACAATATATTCGTTCGTTCTTGTCTAGTACTTTTTGATTCGATTGCGTTAATTCTGAGATTCCTAGTTCATACTACAATTCAAATAATTCGAAATACCGAAATTCTATTTAACAGTTATATATATAGACAATAAACACTCATTATTCATAGTTATCTATGATCATAGTATTGATTAATTTCAACCAATCCATTATATTGCATGATCATCCTTCATTGTCTTCGGTGGATAACATCTTTACATCCAATATGAATTCAACTCGATTGGTCATGGTTTCTCACTAGAACTTTGAGAATCACCACTCTCTCTCATAATGAATGAATGTTGACAGAATTAATGAAAATTTAAGGAGAAATTTAAAGTTTTCTGTTTTTGATCGAGATCATGAACTGGTTGATGTTATACCACTATTGAAAACCTAGTAACACTGGACGGGCGTTTCGTTCTATTGTGGAACTCTTCAGCAGTGAATATCTACGATCTCGCTAGCGGGACTCGAACCCAGGACTCTCGGTCTAGAACGCGAACACTTAATCTGAGCCGGCATCCAATGGTGTTAATGTCTAAGTTCAAATAATCCACGTAATTGTGCAACCATCTTCCATTGTACTGAGGTAGACAACTGTCTCTAACCGACATGGATTAGCTCGGCTTTTTCTATTATAAAAAAAGACCATTTCGCAAAAATAATAAAATATTATTCAATCTGTTCAACAAATGACATATGATCTATGTATTCCACATATAATCTATTGTCACTTTTAAATTGGATCCAAATATAATAACCAGAAATACATTTAATCCATAGGTGTGAACAGTGTAATCCAGGATTCTGAATAACCTTATACATTGATTCTTACATTATAATTTTGACTAGAAATTAGTATTCACTGTTATAATGTTAGTGTCTGTAGTGGTTGGTCATATGTTATGCTCATATAGCTTATTCTAGCTTCTGGAAAAGCTAAATATATTCATTCTACTGAAGCTACATTTTGAACTTGTTAATTATTCGCTTATCAATCTTGACTATTGCTATATGAACGTATGTGTGGACACTTCTTATCTTATTCATCACATGTCTGTGACTTATTTTTGTTAGACTATAAATATCAATTCATATTTGCATAAATTGAGTTGACTCACACGCCTTGTGCGTCGTTTCGCTTTACTTCCTCCTCGCCGCTTCTCTAATCGTTTGTCTGGATCAATGATTGTATGAAATACACGTATTCGAAATTCATCCTCATATTTGCCTTATTCAATTTCGTTATACACTAACGCGAGTTAATTCAATCATTATATACGAGAGGAGCTAAGATGTATATTTCGACAGAAATTATTTTTTAGCAATCAGAAACGATCCAAATGGAGTCAGATATAGGGTCACTAAAATGTTATCCCTTAAATTACTGAATTACGATAATTGGTATTTGTTAGACAGATATAAAATTGATTAAAATTATTAATTATGAGAGTTTTTAATTCTCTATTTTTCATATCCAGGAAAGAATTTGACTAGTGTTGACTGTTTTAACTCAACAGACCAATAGGTAATGCTTTGGTACTGCTCTTTTGAATCGTTTGTTTGAATTTTTCAACTAATGTATAGGACTAATCAATTACAGTAATAAACATCATTGGGAAGATTCAAACAACCAGTATAAATGAATTAGACTTCACCCCATCCTGTAGGTCCCCGGCTATCTGAATACAGTAGCTAAGTGGATAACGCGATGGCATTTCAAGCGAACTGTACTAGTTTGAAGTCCCTAATTGAACTTCAACTCTGAGATTCAGGTACATCTAGGTGATGGGTCCCAAATAAGACAAAACATGCATTGTGGATTCCACTGCTAGCCACCATCCATTTCTGCTTATAATGACGGATACTGGTTTTTGAGTATCATTGAAAACATCAAAACTGAAGTACATTTATCTCCAGGTGGATAATTATCAAATAGAACTTGACATGTATCTTAAGTTCATTACTCAACCAAGAATAAAATGCGGACTTTCCAGATGATAGGCGGAGATATTCATCACCAGTAGACAACGTCATGATGTTTTATAGCCTTCAGGGTAGATGGAACTTTATCAACCAAACCGTAATATGATCATTAGTTTCATTAATTCAACATCAAGACTTACAATAAGAACAGTATTACTTAACGAATTAATCGAAATCTGATAGCTATTACCTTATGTTTGAGTCGATTTTATTGCTAATCTGATATTATCAATTAACAGCCTCACTTTTAACTTGATAAATTATCCTCAACTCCTGAAAAATCTCTACAAAATCACTGAAACTAATTTTAGTATTTAAAACCAGTACTCAATTGGAAAACTAATAGAAACCAAGAAGTACTAGGTAGTCATCTATGATGAGTAATTATTTCAAACAGAGCAGTTCATATGGATCATTTATTTAACTAGTAATCATGTAGACAGTGGTAATTAGCTCCGACTACAATTACCGAATGTGCGGTGAGCAACCATAGTCGGTGATGTATGGTGGTGAATGGGGGTAGTCAACAGGAAACCCTAGACCTAGGTTTCGTGCTATATATCACTCAGTTCTATAACAGGCCAGTTGCGGCTTGAATATCCCAATGGTAACGTATTCAACTTTGAAGCTGGATTACACGGGATTAAATCAGCTATACAAAACCAATAGAAATACCAAGAAGAATTGACAAAGCTAGTACATCCCGGCTTAGAACTATATGGTACATTGAAATCAAGATCTTGTAGCTTAACAGTGAATCGCTGTATCAGAATGTATTTACCAATATTTCCAGTTTCAATCAATATAAATGTGATGTGGGATGACAATTGTCCAATCCCATCAATAATAACTATCACATTGTTGAAATGGTTAAATGTTATTATTTACAGTTTCTTATTTGAAATTTATAAATTCTTATTAGAATTAGTCATTAGCGATTGTGAAATCACTACTTCTAAGTGAAAAATTCATTTAGAACGTCATTTAGAACGGAAGCATCATTGATCAGATACAGACACTAAGGCGAGGATTGGAAAAGCAAGCACAGCATTCCTACAATCGAAGAACATATGCAACTCAAAATAACTTCCAACAAATATCAAAGTCACAATCTTCAATACGAACGTCAACACACTTAGTTCTACTGTACGGAGATGAAACTACCAGAACTAATAGAACAATCATCAAAAAGGTACAAGTATTTACAAATAGTTGTCTACACAAGATACTCAACATCCATTAGTCGGATACCATCAGTGACAGCCTACTGTGGGAGAGAACAAATCAGCTTTCAGAGGAAGAGGAAATTAGGAAAAGACGATGGAAAGGACGATGGATGGTACATACATTTCGAAAATCATCAGAATGCATCACGAGACAAGCCCTAACTTGGAATCCTGAATGGAAGTGGAAAAGTGGAAGGCCAAATAACACATTAGAATCAGATATGAAAATGATGAATGACAAGTGGAAAGGATTGTCCATGACGGGGTTGAATGGCGAGTGCTGGTAGGCGGCCTATACTCCTTCACGAGGAATAAAAGGCGTAAGTAACTAAGTAAAGTCATTTAAAACTTCTTATCAGTAAAATAAGTAGTCTACATATTTAACTCAGAAATATTCTTTCTTTATATTAAAAGAAACTAAACATTATGAATGATAAAATAATGCATAAATCCTCTACTATACATGTATCTACAGCTTATATTATAAAGAGAAACGAGTACAAATATACATACACTTACAATATCAGAAATTGTCCTTATTACAAAAAATGCGGGATGGTGTGAAACAAAAAAAAAATGCAACCAACAATAATCTTACGGGTTTCTTCTTTTTCTTTTTGTTGTTGTTGTTGTTGGTGGTGGTGGTGGCGGTGGTGATGGTGTTCCTATTTATTCATATTTTCAAATGAAACAATACACTTTGTAATACATATGTATGTTCATAACAATCAAAATAATAATGACAATAATATTTAAACTTATATTACCTTTAATGGTGCATTCTGCCTTTTTTTGTAACTTGGATAATCAACTTCGATGGTGTTTCTTTTACATCTACCATTGTTATTATTATTATTATTATTATTATTAATAGTAGTAGTAGTAGTAGTAGTAGTAGTAGTAGTAGTAGTAGTAGTAGTAGTAGTAGTAGTAGTAGTAGTAGTAGTAGTAGTAATAGTAGTAGTAGTAGTAGTAGTATTTCGAATTTTACGCATTATATGATACCACTTGTTAAACCATTGACCAAAAACAAACAAACAACCAAATAAGCAAATAAATGAACGAATCGACAAAACTTGAAAGACAATAACAATGTTATTGAAGAGCCCGTATCTATTTTATCTATGCAGGCAGGAAAAAATTTAAAAAGAGACTATCTATATTTTTCTTTGTGACTATCATAGTAACTAACTAGTTAGGCTAACTAAGTCATTCATAATAATAATAATAATAATAATAATCATATAAGTTTACAAGCAGTCTGACTTATGATTTATATATCGTATATTGTTATGACTAAACTTAATCAGGAAGTGCTCCTGGGGAGATTAAATCTACATAATTTGTACATTTGATTATGAACATAAGTGAATTTAACCTCAAATGAAAGAAAGAAAAAAAAAGTACATATATATTTTGTTTACCTTATTTTACATACTTTTATCAAGGTCATACAAAGTTAATAATCATTTGTATCTTTTAATAGAAAATATAATAATGTATTGGCTATCTGTTTTTCATTCATGTTTATAAAAGACTATTATTCTGTTAAAAGAACAAACCAGAAACGTTTAAGTTTCATGATGATGACCTCAAATGTTTTGATTTGGTCGAGGGTGGGGAGAGTTAGCTCTCCCTATGGAAGTGCTCTCATATGGCCACATAGAAATAACCACTACTAGGAAAGTTCTAATCACTACTGTTGTTTATGAAAGTGAAAGGACGAAAAGCGAATGCTCGACACTTTAACTGGGTTGGTGGACACGGAGGGTCCACCTAAAGGAATTGGGAAACCTTGATTCCAAATCATTGGTGCACATGGGCTACAGGATCCTGAAGGAAAAAATGGCGTATGAACCAATTATTGGTCACCGACTACCATGGGACTGCATCTTCTAACGTTGTTGATCAGACCTTTACGTTCCATGAGAGGCCTCCTAAGAAAACCACCTGCTTCGGTTTGGGCACCCGGACAGTATCATAGCCCATACACAAATCAAGTGATTTGTGTGGCGCATATGTATTCCATGCCCCTTTGTACCAACATTTATATGTTCATATAAATAATTAATTAATTTTCATGATCAGTACATTATCTTCATATCATTGAATTCAATTGAGTTCGACTGGTCGTGGCTTTCTCCGTAAAACTTCAATAATTCATCTTGCATCCTACTTACTTACTTACGCCTGTTACTCCTCGTGAAGGAGCATAGGCCGCTTACCAGCATTCTCCATCCAACCCTGTCCTGGGCAATCCTTTCTAGCTCCGTCCAGTTGTAATTCATCGCTTTCATATCTGCTTCTATTATCCGACGCAATGTGTTCTTTGGCCTTCCTCTTTTTCGCTTCCCCTCAGGATTCCAAGTTAGGGCTTGCCTCGTGATGCAGTTCGACGATTTGCGTAATGTATGTCCTATCCATCTCCATCGTCTTTTCCTAATTTCTTCTTCAGCTGGAAGTTGGTTTGTTCTCTCCCACAGAAGGCTATTGCTGATGGTATCCGGCCAATGGATGTTGAGTATCTTGCGTAGACAGCTATTTATAAATACTTGTACTTTCTAGATTGTGGTTGTTGTAGTTCTCCAAGTTTCAGCTCCATACAGTAGAACTGCCTTGACGTTCGTATTGAAGATTCTCACTTTGATATTGGTTGAAATTTGTTTTGATTTCCATATGTTCTTTAATTGTAGGAACGCTAAAAAAACGCTTACCAGAAAAAATAATCTTGCATCCTACATCAGGACTAATCGTAGAAGCCGTGCTACAAAGATTTGGGACTATATTTCTACAAATAATCAAACTAAAGATTTGGATTAGTTACTTACGCCTGCTACTCCCAATGGAGCATAGGCCGTCGACCAACATTCTACAATCCACTACGTCCCCGGCCTTCCTTTCCAGTTCTATCCAAGTGTTGTTCATTCTTCTCATGTCTGTCTCCATTTCTCGACGTAATGTGTTCTTTGGTCTTCCTCTCCTCCTCCTTTGGAATTCAGGATTCCAAATGAGGGCTTGTCTTGTGACGCAGTTGGGTGATTTCCTCAATGTGTGTCATATCCACATCCAGCAATTCTTCCTGATTTATTCCTCCGCTGAGATCTGGTTTGTTCTCTCCCACTGTAGTGGCTGATGCTGATAGTGTCTGACCAACGGATCCGAAGTATTTCGTGTAGACAACTGTTAATAAACACTTGTATCTTCTAGATGATAGCTTTTGTAGTTCTCCAGGTTTCTGCCTCATACAGTAGAACTGTCTCATCATTTGTATTGAAAATCCTAACCTTGGTGTTGGTTGACAGACAGTTGTTTTGAGTTCTAGACGTTCTTCAATTGTAGATATGCTGCTCTTACTTTACAAAGATTAGGATACGTTATGTAGATCACAAATTCATTATCTGGAATATAGATAAACTAGAAATAACTCATAAATTGATCTAAAACATTTTAGAGGATATCAAATTTACGAGGGAAGAAGAAGAATAAGAAGTAGAAAATGAAATCTTGTTCTTTGACGTTTTAATCTGTCGAAGAAATACAAGAAATTTAAAGTAACAAGTTTACGAAAAAACTGAGACACAAGGATCAAATATTAAACTACAATAGTAGCAACCCAACAATACAGCAAAAAGAGTTGTGATCGAGCACTAATCAAAAGAGCTAAAGCCTATTGCAATACTCTCAATACACGAAAAATTAACGGAGATTATGGTCACTCTATCTTCTGTAAGAATGGCTACCCTAATAACTTTATCAAAAGATGCTTTACCAATACATTCACTTCACTCTATTCTGTGCAGACTTAAAAATAAAGGAGGACGAATCCAACATCATTTACAAAATGAAATACACTATTTTCAAAAAACATTACATAGGACAAAAGGTTTGTCCCTTTCACCGATCCATAAATGAACACCTTAAAAATAAGAATATAAGAAATGCTATCACTGATATCAGTGAATACAGACAACCATGAATACTAGTTCGTTTAGAAAAACGTCAGCAATTAGGATCACGAAAGCTCTAAGACTTCCAGAGAATTTCTAAAAGTACGACATTCAAAACAGTCGGCGAGCAACAGACACATAGACATAGATCTAATCAATGAAGCTATACGGAAAAGGTCAGTCAATCGCAAAGCCAGAGATCAACCAACAAAAGTAGTCGATAGGAATTCAAAGGCAAATGAAAACAACCAAACCTACAAAGATAGTCAATCACGAACAAGACCGCTAGAATGAACCAATGTAACACTTATGAACTAACTAGAAACCTCACTTCTACATGAAGTAGACTCTAAGAATGTTATCCAGAATGACAATATAAACACCAAAGTGAAATCAACTATCTTGGAGAACTGAACACCATAAAAATATGACTCTTTTTCCAGCTTTACATCGTAGCTGATAATGACGTGATACGTGGCATTATCATATATAAACTCACGTCAGCAATATAATTCACAACCTAAATTTAAACATACAACCCTAAGCAACTGATAGTTTAGCAATTAAAGCAAGTGGAATTCCTACCATAACGGGAAAAATTCAAATTACACTTTGGTTTGAAGAGTCCAGGCAACAGTACTAGCCATCAAATAAAATGACAGAATTAAAAAAAATGGTATTTAAGCTTGTATTTCCCCAAAAATTCAGCCAGAATGAAATAAAAATATGTATCCCTTAAAATCACCATTTTGATGTTTTCAAACTACACAAATATAATTTGATCGAATATCATGAAGCTCTTCTCCTTAATGGTTAATTCTCAGAGATACTTCAAACTTACATGTACACACTTGCACATTTCATACTGCATCGTTGTCTGTCGAAGTTTATCTTCTTGATTATTGAAGGGTGGGTTAAAGGCGGTTAGTAGCTAAGTGATATACGCTTCTATTGTGAATGTCATGCTCCATTCAGAATCACATGGCCAGGTTGGTGTTGAACAGAATAAAAAAAATTACTTAATATTCAGTGATTAGTTAGTTGTGAATATCTAAATCGGACAAGTCAACTGAGATCTAAAGACCTCAGTGGTAACGTTTCTAACTGTAAAATTGGGTTGAAAGGGATCATTTCTCACGGTGAGCATCAGTTTCCTGAATATTGCAGGTACATCTTGTCGACACATGCTAACTAGTATGGAATCTTAGACATGTAGTGTTTCCTGTCAATTATCTTTAACTCTTAAATATAAATTCGAATCAAATGCATTATTCGATAAATTACTGATCATGTTCCCCTTCACTCCTAAAAAATATATTTATTACTTTCAATAGTTGAAATCATGAGTCAATTGAGGTTAGACCACCATGGAAAACCTATAAGCACTGAATGGCCGTTTCATCGTATTATGGGACTCTTCAGTAGTGCGCATCCATGATTCCGCCTCACGAGATCCGAACCCAGGACTTGTCAGTCTCGCGCGCGAGCGCTTAACCTCTAAACCACTGATCCGGCCGGTATCCAACAGTGTTAATATTTAACTTCAACCAATCCACAAAATTGAGCAACATATCCACCATTGTCATCAGCGAGTTATTATCTCACAATAGACCCGGTTGAAATTCACTGGTGACTGCTTCCCACTAGAACTCCAGGAAATACCTGTTGAAGCCAGTCACTAGTGAGCATATATTGATTAGTATCAGAAGGGGGTTTTGTGGAGATTGTAGTAATTTCAATAGTTGAGATCATGAGTCAATTGAAGGTAGACCACCATGAGATAGTAACTCACTGATGACAATGGTGGATGTGTTGCCCAATTTCGTGGATTAGTTGAAGTTAGACATCAACACTGTTGGATACCGGCCTTCGCAGTTGTCTAGTGGTTAAGAGTTCTTGTGCGAGATCAATAGGTCCTCGGTTCGAATCTCGCGAGGCGGGATCGTCTATGCGAACTGATGAGGAGTGCCGCAGTAGGACGAAACGGCCATTTAGTGCTCTCAGGTTTTCCATGATGGTCTAACATCAATCGATTGGTGATCTCAATC